CGGGGAGGGGGCACGGGGGGCAGTGGGGGTCCTCCAGGCACAACGCGTGGGGGCCGTGCGGCTGCCCCCGGGCGGGGGTCCCCGTGTTCCCCCCCCGGGGATCCCGGGACGGAGAGGGGGTCTCCGGGACGGTCCCCGCTCCGTCCCGGGCGGCCCCGCCTGCGGTCCCGCACGTGCACGCGTGTCCCGGGGGCCCCGCGCTGCCCCCCCAGCGCTGCGGGGCGTGCGGCCGAGGGGGCTGCCCCGCGTCTCTGGGCATCCCCGGGGGAGGGGACGGCGGCGGGGGACAGACTGAGAGAGCTGGGAGGACACGGGGGAACGGGCGCCATGCAGGGCTCTGCCCCGCGGCCGGCTCTCCGGCGGGGCACGTAGAAAAGGGGGCGCAGGCGGGGGTGGGGGGCCATGCCGGGGCTATGTACAGGGGGCGCGGGGGCCGCTCAGCCGCTCTGCTCGCTGGGGGGCTCGGCGGCGGCCCCGACCTCGTTACATGTGGTGGCGGGCGGTGTGCCGGGGGCCGGGGGCTGCGCGGCGGCGGGCGGAGCCGGGGCCGTGTCGGTGGCGGGCTCTGTGGCCGCGGGCTCCGTGGCCGCGGCGGCGGGAGCCGGGGCAGCGGCCGTGGTCGCTGCCGGGGCCGTGGTCGCTGCCGGGGCCGTGGTCGCTGCCGGGGCTGGAGTTGCTGCCGGGGCTGGAGTTGCTGCGGGGGCCGGAGCCGCTGCCGGGGCCGGGGCTGCCGCCGTCTCCGTCTGCTCGGGCGCCCGCAGGCGTTTCATGAGCGTGGTCACTCGCACGGCTTTCTGCAGGGGAGAGACGAGGGGTGTGGGTCTGGCGGAGGGGCAGCGACTGACAGCCCCCCAGGCTCTTAGCCCCATGGTGGGGGACCGGCCTTGGCTGAGAGGGGACAATGGAGGCACGGCACACCTTCCACTTGGCCCGGGCGAAGTTCTTCTCGATCTGGGCACAGACACCATCCTTGATGTTCTTGTCAGAGGCAGCATTCCCAGAGATCCTGGAGAGGCAGTGAGGGGTGAGCAGCCCCCACCAGGCCCCCTGGCTCCCCATCTGACCCTGCCGCTGCTCACCACTCATGGGAGATGGCCTCCTCTGCTGTGATCCTCTGGTCCTGCTCCACCTCCATCAGGCGTGTCACCAGCTCCTTAGCTGGGGGCACAGGGGGAGAAGTCAGTGCTAGTAGGGGACAACATGGGGACCCCACGTACCCCCCCAGTGTGGGGCTCACCCGCTTGCGAGATGTCATCCCAGTACGGCGGGTCGAACTCATAGTCCCCAGCCAGGATTTTGCGGAAGAGGTTCTTGTCGTGATTCTCATAGTCATCCTCGTCTGCCTCCTCGTAGAAAGGGGGGTTTCCCGAGAGGCTGGGGAATGTGGTGGGGGGCTCAGTCCCGCCCCAGCCCTGAGCCCTTGTAGCTACCATGTCCCTCACCCCACACTCACAGGATGTACATGATGACGCCGATGGCCCAGCAGTCCACCGGCCGCCCGTACCGCTGCCGCCCCACCACCTCCGGAGCTGCCAGAGACAGAAGAGCAACCATCCCCCGGGGTCCCCAGCCACCCGGCCTCTTAGCCCTGGGGTGATGGGAGGCACCCACTGGAAGCACCCAGGATCAGCGCCCAAGGTGATGGGGAATGGGAGGTGCAGCAGCAGGTGGTAGGGAATGGATGGTAAGGAGCAGCAGGGACCTGCTGGGACCCAGCACCACCCACTGCATGCCCACCCGGCTGGCTCTCACCCACCCAGGTACTCAGGGGTGCCACAGGGCTCCTTAATGAGCCCGTTCTCCAGCTTGGCCAGGTGGAAGTCACTGATGACGATCTTGGAGTTCTTCAGGCGATTATAGTACACCAGGTTCTCCAGCTGCCGGTGCAGGGACTGTGAGTACCAGGACAGGGGGCATGGCAGCACCCATGGCTGCTTCCACCCCCCTGCCACCCACCTTGAGGTTTCTGTGGACAATCTTGAGTGAGTGCAGGTAGGCAACAGCCTCCAGCACCTGCCGGATGACATTGCTGGTGTCCTTCTCTGAGTAGTAGCCCTGGTCCAGGATCCAGTCGAAGACCTCCCGGCCAGTGGCCCTGCAGACAGCAGCTCTGAGACCCAACCCTGGTGGGGCCACCCCCTCCCCACTTCCAGATGTCCCAAACTTACAGCTCCAGGAAGATGAAATATTCCTTGCGGGTGATGTAGACATCCACCAGCTGTAGGATGTTGGGGTGCTTCACCCTACAGAGAGACAGGGGCATGGGTGGGAGTTCCCAGTTTGCCTGGTAGCACAGGATCCCCTCCAGCCCCAGCACTCACATTTTGAGGATGATGATCTCGTTTTTGGCTGCCTTCCGCACTTTCCGCCCATCCCGCTTCAGAAACTTCTTGCAGGTGTACAACTTCCCTGTCGTCTTCTCCTTGGCCCGGAAGATTTCACAGAACTCCTCCCTGCAAGGGTATCCCCAGACATCACCCTATTCCTGGGGACCATTGAGACTGGGGTACTTGGGTGGTCCCTGGGCCCACCAGCATTCCCCCAGATCCCAGCAGTCAGGGGAGATGCCACAGAAGTAGAAGAAAGCTGTGTCTCAAAAACACTTTGGAGGGGAAGCAAAAAAAAAAGCAGTGAGAAGCAACTGATATGGAAGAAGCAAATTGATAGGGAAGGGGGAGAATTTGCTGGTTAAAAAACCCCATCCTCAGGACAGGAGGGGTAAGATCCCCTGCGAAGCCACTCGTGCCAAGGTGGAACAGCAGCACACCTGACATTAACATCAGCACAGCAGCGGGGGAGAAAGAAAGGGAGATGTGCCGGTAGCTGCAGTATTTCTGTTCTATTATTAATGGTGCTGGAGCCCATCGACCAGGCTGCAGCTGCAGGGGAGCCCCCCAGGGGCACTTGGCACTGCTCCAGCAAAGCCACTGGCTTTCCAATGCCCCCAACTGCGCTGAAATCTCCATGGCCACTGCCCTGGGTGGAGGGGAACAGTGACCTGTGGGCCATGGGACAAACTGCCCAGAGGATGGAGCAAAGATCTGAGAGCACCAAGGACCCCACTGCCACCCTGTCCAAGCAGGTGTTTTGGAAGTTGATGGAAAAAATTCTGGTGCCTATTTTGCGGTCAGCCCTGTCTCAAGGGGTGTGAGGGCTTCATTTTTTGGAGCTCATCCTGTTAAGGTTCCTCAGCACGGCAATAAAAGCTGGGGGAAGCAGCAGTCCTCCACTGCCCCCCAGGTGACATCTGCCTTTCCTTTGCTGTAGCTGAGCCCTCCTGATTCACAAAATGCTCAAGGGAGACAGGATTGTGTGGAATTGCTGCAATCCCTGCAAATCTTGAGGGGAGGAGGGAGGGATATAGGAAGCTGCCCAGCTGCAGCCAGCAGCAGTGGGAAAGCTCACTGCCCTCCCTGGAGCTAGCTGTGAATATCCCCCATGCAACCCACGAGCAAGAGGGACTAATCAGGGTAAAGCCACCCCAAAACACACCCTGCAATCCCGGCCCAGCTGGGGACCAGCACCCCCAGAACCCCCACAGGCAGTGTTGTGCCACTCCTCAGCACCCCAAGAGCCCCACACGGGTGGCTGGGGTTCCCCAGGGCATCCGTGGGGCCGTGGAGGGACCAACTCACGTTTTGATGACCTGGCCCAGGTCATATCTGTCGGTCACCTCAGACGGCTGGTTATAATCTTTCTTGTCTCCCAGCGTCACGCAGCCAAACGGCATCGCAGGGCCCGGTGCTGGCAGGGCAGGGAGAGGCAGTGAGTGCCCCGGCACTGCTGGCCCCTGGAGCCACAGCAGACCCTCCCGAGCTGTGCTAATTAACGTGGAGCCTGAGCACAGCGGCTGCTCGTGCTCTGCAGCTGCCACAAGCTGCCATGTGCCCAGCCCCGCCGATGTGCATCCATGCCCATGGCATCCAGCCTCTCTGCCCGGGCTCAGGCTGCCAGCACAGCCACAGGCTTCCCCCTCTGGCCCCTGTTTGTGGATTATTAATGATTAATTAGCAGTCAGGGTTAGCACAGTGCCTGGAGCACCCACTGGGGAGGCAAGCGGAGGTGAACGGATCCTTTCCTGTTTCCCAGCCCAGTCTTGCCCACGGTAACATTTCAGCAGATGGGGCCTCCCCAGGCAGAGCATTGTCACACGTTGTCACATGTGCAGTGGGTTACACCAGTCTCAGCTTGCCATCCCCAACCAGCCCCGACTGTGGCACCAGGCAGGTGGCACTGCAGCTCGGAGGTGCCAGCCCTCCTGCCACTGGCAGCGGTCAGGACACCAGCCTTGGCAGACACCAGCTCCTCCAGCCCTTTAGGAAGGATGCTTTGCCCCTTGCTTCCCTGTTGGGAACTCTTCAAAACCAGATCCTTCTTGGACGCTACCCAGAAAAAAAAAAAATTGATCACATAAAGTGATTTCTTCCCCTTTCCCACTGTGCTAGCGGGAGCAAGTTTCAGCTGACATTATTTTTTGACGGCTCAGAAGATGACAGAGCTGCCTGGGGCCCCCCAGCCCTCTCGGATGGGCCTGAGTGGGACCTTGCGATGGGAAGCTGGCACGATGCTGGAGGCACCCTTGCCCAGGCTAAAGCTCCCTGAACACCACGCTGTGCTGTGCGAGCCTGGCTGTGCCGCACCGGCAGCGCCCGGGCCCGGTGGTGAGGGCTGCGGGCAGGATGGCTGCGGGATGCGGGATGCGGGAGCCGGCATCGCGGGTACCCAAGCGCCGAGCCTGTTGCTATGGCAATGGGAGCTGAAGATGCAGAAAGCGGCACATCCTTTGGAGGGGGCAGGGACGGGCAGCACCCGGCAGCACCCGACCCACCTGCAGGTGCACAGCCCCATCCCTGCTGTGCAGGCCCTGGGAGGAAGGCGTGCTGCCTGCAGCACCCAGGGCATGCACTTAAGTGCTCCCTGGGGTGATCGACCCAAACCTGGGTGGGACGTGAGTGCAGTGAGCCAGGGAATGGGGGGATGCTCCTTCCTGCCTCCATCCTTTGGGGCTGACCTGCCTCCGTGCCTGCTGGAGCGATGCCCACAGGATGGAGATCCCAGCTTGCAGGCACCCAGGCACCATCCTGCCAGGAAAGCCTGCACTGAGTAAGCGTACCTGCCCCAGTCCTGCTCAGTGTGTGCCAAGTCCCAAAAGAGAAGAAGAACACCCATGGGACACCACTGCTAGTACCCCAGCTTGGGTGAGGTTATCCAGACTACACCTGACTCATCCCAGCAGCTCTCCCGGCAAACATGCCATGCCTGTGTCCCCATGCCACACGACACCAGCTCTGCTGTGCCACTGTACCTGGCCAAGGGGAATGAGGGCTGTCCTGGCAGCTGCTGGAGGGGCGGTGGGCTCAGTGCCACAGATCATCAGGGGCAGGGCTGGCTGGTGGATGGGCAGGCTGCCAGCACTGGTGGCACGGTGCCAGGATTAGCCGGGAAGGGGACCGGGGTGGGATGATATATCGGGATTTTATTGCTGTCTATGAGAGCTCTCAGCTAATCTGCGCTCATAAAATTAGTTCTCGTTGGTTTAGTGGCCACCCATCCTGTCAGGGCTGAGCATTGCCACCCTGCCCTGCCCCAGGCTGGCTTCCAGGGGCTCAGTGCACCTGGGATACCCCGCAAGGGAGGTTGGTATCCAGCCCAACATCAGGGTCAGCACCTGCACCCCACAGGTGAGACCACCCTCCCGGGGCAGGGGCACCCAGGCAAGAGGTGGGCAAAGGGATGAGTGCTCCCTCCCCGGGGTGCCAGGAGGAAGGCTCCGTGCTGCGCTGGCACCCGCACGCAGCCAGCACCCCCCTCCAAGAGTCTAATTTGGGAGCAGAAGCAACAGCGGGTGTAAGACAATAGCGGGGAAGTGGGTGGCCGGGTGGGGATGGCACGGAGGGATGACGCAGCCGTGCAGCCCTCGCCAGCGGGGCCCCCCAACCCCCGACCCCCAGCTCTGCCCCACGGCGTGAGGTGCCACCGGCTGGTATTTCATCTGCAGCCCCGCTTCCACCTGCAGCTGCCCTGGACATGTCCGTGGGGGGTTCCCCCTGCCATCCCGCCCCCACGTCCCGGGGGAAGGATGTACCGGGGAGAGGCAGAAAACGCAGCCGGGCTAAGACGGACCGAAATACTGCTAGTGCAGGCAGCGGACAGGCAGCGGGAGGCGGAGGGGAGGCGGAGGGGCCGGCCGGCCCAGTGCTGCCCGCGGAGCCGCCGGGCTGGGGCTGAGACAGGGCTGGGGGAGTCCCACCGCCCCCGGGCCGGGGCGTGCGGAGGGACAGCCCGGGCCGCGCACCGCAGGGAGGTCTGCGTTTGGCCGGCTCGGAGCGCTGCGGCAGCGGGAAGGGAGCGGACTGCGGGAGAGAGAGGTGCGGGGTCCGGGAGGGGATGCTCGGCGGCGGGGGCACGGGGAGAGGCTCCCCGGCAGCATCCGCTCCCGCGGTGCCGGCCCGGTTCTCCGGGCTCCTCGGGGAGACGGGGGCGGCACCAGGGCAGCAGCGGCCCGGGGGGGCGAGCGGGGAGGCGCGGGGGGAGCCGGGCTCCGGCAGCTCGCCGTGCCCACGGCGCCCGTCGGGGCTCGGGGTCGGCGGGACGCGGAGTGCCGGCGGGGGCAGTGCGGCGGCGGGCAGCCGTCGGGGCGCGCTCGCACCGGACAGGGACACGCGCGGCCCCGTCGGGACGTCCCGGGCCACCGGGGTCCGGAGGAGAGTTGGGGGCAGCCCCGGGCCAGACAGTGACAGATGCCAGCAACGCCCCCCACGCCGGGCCCGGCCCCCCTCGCCCCCGGTCCGGCGCGGCGCGGCGCTCACCTGCACGCCTCTCCGACCGCAACGGCGCGGCCCGCGGTGTCCGGGGCCGAGCCGGGCCGAGCCGAGCCGATCCCCGCCGATGCCAGCGATCCCAGCCGATCCCAGCCCAGCCGTCGGTCCGTCGCGGCGCGGCCCCGCGCGCCCGGCGCGGCAAGTTGGGGGGGCGGGACCGTGGGGCCACGCCCCCTTTCGCGCCCCGCCCCGCCCCTGACGTCACCGGCAAACTTCGCGCCCCGCCCGTGGGGACGGGTCATGCGTGGCGCTGGGAGCGACCGGAGCGCGGGGGGCGAGGCCGGGGGATTGTCACCGAGCTGGGACACTGCCACAGCCGGGGGCCGGGACCCCATGGGACCAGAGACCCCATGGGACCCCACAGTGTACCCTCGGGGGTGAGCCGGGATCCCCTGGGCTGTGCTATGGCCCCTGGCCCGGGATGGGATGGGATGGGATGGGATGGGATGGGATGGGATGGGACGGGACGGGAGCAGGATTTTAGCAAAGTTGAGCGTGGGCTCAGCATGACAGGTATCTGTCCCCTGAGGGCACTAAAAGGTGCCATGAGGACATGGGTAGACGCATGTTCCTGCCTCTGTGCCATCTTCCAGGCACCTTCTTCTCCAGCAGCAGGGCCGAAGGCTCTACTTACTTCCCTATGACAGGGTTTGTCCTTGTCCCACAGCCTGGGGCAAGGAACAAGAAAGGGACAAGAAATCGGCCACCCTGATTCTCTTACCTCTGCCCACAGCCCAGGTGTGGGACCAGCCTGGGGTGGGCAGCACAGTCCTCAGGGCACAACAGGGCACCAGTCCCTTCCCCAGCCCCCTCGCCCCCCACTCCTCACGCAGTGCAGCCACGTGTGTGGAGCCTCCCCAAGGGCTGCGTGCCACACGCTGGCATTTGCTGCCCATATGGTGCTGCTCCCGAACTGCACCCCCACTTCCCTCCCCTCCCGCCCTGCGCCCACCAAACCCCAGCTCCCCAAACCTCCTGAGGTCCTCAGTGGCCACAGGGTGTGGCCATCCACTCGCAAGACCCACAGCCCTCTCCCACCCACGGGTGGGGACACCAGAGTCCCAAAGCAGCCTCTCCCCTCTGCTCACTGGAGACCAGCCAGCACTCCAAGCGAGAGGCAGCTGGGGTGCTCCCAGCACCCGTGCCCTGTGTGGCACCGAGCCCTGCCAGCCCCAGGCCGATCACCGCCCGTGCTGGGTGATTAAGGGTGTGTGAGAGCAGGGGGAATTTGCAGGGCACTGTAGTTTGAGCTTCTAATCAAGAGTTTAATCATACAGGCTGGCAGCAGCGCCACGGTTATTAATCTCTGCACCTCGCGGGGACCCGAGCGTAAGTCATAATTACTCGGCAGGCACCCGTGTGCCTCGGGGCTGCCCGCTGGTGGCTTGCAGCAGGAGGGACGTGGTGGCACTTCTCCATTGTCCCTTGACCCCAGCTCGTGCCTGTCACTTCCTGGCAGCAGTCTCCTGCCACAGGGTCCCATCACTGTGCTCTGGTCCCCTCCTGGTCCTCACTCTGTTCAGATCTTGGTCCACTCTGCCCCATTTTGGGGTGATGAGCTTTGCTGACCCCAATGGCATTTGTCCTTACAGTGCCATGTCCCACTGCCCCATGCACCCACCCCTCCCACTACACCCCAGAGCTGAGTGTGGGTGGCATGGCTGGTTTGGGGTGACTTTTCCTACGGCACCTCTGGAGAGAGTGAGCCTGGGATGCCCAAGGTGGAGCTGCCAGGGCTGGGGGCACCTGGCTGTACACCTCTGCCTCAGATAGGGGACATGGGGTGGGGGACACCTGGACATACCCCCGCTTCAGCTGGGGGACATCTGGCTGCATGGCCCTGTCCCAGGAGGGTGCAGGGGATGGAGGGCCAGCCCCGGCGGTGCTGGGGGGTGCAGTGGGGTGCAGCGGG